GGGGCATTTATGAACCCGTAAGGATTCTCAGGAACGCATTTATACTTCTCATAAACTCCCTGGTATCAAGATAGAGACCTGTGGGGGGGGGGGGGTTGTGGGGGGGGGGGGTGGTGTTGGATCCTTACCTGCTGTTTCATTTCAATGAAAGGAGGGCGTTCACCTTATTTGCACCAAAGACGAAAGTAAACGCAGGGTTTGTCCATCCCAAGTTTGCATTTTGCAGGCGTGCTACTCCTCTCCTTTGCAGACAGAAGGGAAACTGCGTCCCTGTGATGCTCTGGAGAGGAAGCCACAGCAGCCGACATTCACAGATGACGACCTGAAAAAGGAGAGGGAAAAACAAGTAGTATTTCAGCAGAGGTGATGCGCTCAGCAAAGGGCACCATCTACAGATTCTCCAGGGAACTGGGGAACTAATCCACTTAGTAAAACCCTTTCAGTCCCCATTTCAAGGCAGACAAACTAAATTTTCAGCCACTAATTTAATCTGCATTGCAGCGAATTCACTGGGGAAAGCAATACCAAATCTAACCGGTTTGGGTAGTTTTTGTCAGTTCTCATATTGCCCCAGAAATGACAATTCCCACAAAGCCGAGTGGTTCCTACATAAAAGCAAAGCAGCCCAAGCCACGAGGGATGTGCTCAGTGCTGCAGGAGAAAATTTAAGCTTTCTATTCGGTGTATCCTGAAGCCTAAAGACTCTGGGTATCTCTTGGTGATGGAGAAAAAAAATTATTCAGGAGATACGTCAGTGCTCCTCTTCCCACATCTGCACCAACAAACTCCACAGCGCTGTTCTCCCTCAGCTGGCGATATACATGAAATAAAACCCAAGTCTGTTGTCTACCTCCACAAGCACCACCAGGCCCAGAATTTGTAAACTAAAGCAAATCCCTGTGTAGCTGGAAACTTAATGGATGACGATGATGATGATTGTTGTTATTGTTATTCCGATTTCCATGTTGTCTACGAGAAGACTGGCAGGCAGCAGGACCCTAAGTTTAGCACAGTGCGGTTATACTCACTGTCCTTCTGTTTACCTGCAGCTGTAAATTCCCCAGTATAATTTAGTGATTCTCCAAATGCTGTTCAGCCTGGCACCGCTTCTCCTGGTCTGCAAGGACCTGCCCAGAGCTTCAGAGCTGCTCTACGCATCCGTTTCAAATGGCAGTAGAGCTTGCCAGCGCTACCTGGCTGCGTGAGAAAACCCGAGTGTAACAGGGGACTCTCACTCAAATGCTCTTACTGACCAGCAGAAGACAGCTGTGAGGATGGGACGAGGGGATGCAGTTTGAGAAATACTGCTATGAAGGTTGCTCAGACACCTGAAGGACTGCAGTGTGTGGGGACACGGAGGCTGCGTAGAAACAGCATCCCTAGAAGGGATTGCTCTGGGGAGACCCCCCTGCAGGGCTGTGTCCAGCTCTGGAGCCCTCGGCACGGGAGAGACATGGACCTGCTGGAGCGGGGCCAGAGGAGGCCCCAGCAACGCTCCGAGGGCTGGAACCTCTCTGCTGGGAGGACAGGCTGGGAGAGCTGAGGGGGCTCAGCCTGGAGCAGAGAAGGCTCCGGGGAGACCTTCCTGCAGCTGCCAGGGCTGAAAAGGGTAACGGTTTTAAACTAAAAGAGGGCAGATTTAGACTAGGTATAAGGAAGATGTTTTTCACAGTGAGGGTGGTGAACCCCTGGCCCAGGTTGCCCAGAGAGGTGGTGGATGCCCCATCCCTGGAAACATCCCAGGTCAGGCTGGACGGGGCTCTGAGCACCCTGCTCTGGTTGCAGATGTCCCTGCTCACTGCAGGGGGTTGGACTAGATGGCCTTGAAGGGTCCCTTCCCACCCAAACCATCCTGT